ATTATTAATTATGTAATTCATTGTACGTAACGATTACCTTTTCAAAAAATTGGTTATTGTTTAAGTATGAAATTTAAATGATCCTTTAAATAGGATAACACTATGTTTTTTTTTCCATGAATTTTCCATGAATGTTAGATTTTCATTAATATTCTTATATAAATTAAAAACCATGTTCCCCAAAAATATTTTCAAGGAAATATTTTTTCCAGCTTCCTTTAGTCCTTCTACACGCGCCCCTTGTTTGTCACAAAGCTATCGCATGCATTGATTTTATTCTTAATTTAACCAACAGCTTTAAAATCTCTGCATATAATAAAAGGAAGATTCTGTCTGTGTGTGTATCTTTCGTTCGTGTTGCGCGTAAGGCGTAAGACCCAGGGCTACGAAATTTGGTACATAGGAGTGCATCTAGTCAAGAGCCAGTGCACCTCGAAGCGATTATTTTAAAATTCGAATGAGGTTTTTTTTTAAAATTTATTTTTATTTTTTTTGACGAAATGGCATCAAATCGCTAATTCTCCCTCAGTATATCAGCAGCAATAGCACGAAGCCATTGCTGCTGATATATTTACTGTTGCCATTGTTGTTGGTGATATCAGTACTGTTGCCACCTGGAAAAATGAGGGCGATAATTCTGTGCAATTTTTAAATTTAATGTTACTCTTGGATGCTGGATATTTGTCGAGAGGTACTTGAATACGACGTTTGTCGAGAGGTTGTTTCTCGAGAGGACTTTTGTCCAGAGGCCAGTTTGTTTTCCGGTACATTTAAAAGCTAGACGAAGATGGGCCGCATAGCGGCCGGTTAAAAATTCATTTGTGTTAATTTCACTAACTGTTATACATACCTCCTAGCAGTAGTGATAACTTCAAGGAGCGGGCCCACCAGCGGCCGAGCGGTAAAGCCGCTGAACACTGGTAGTTCGGTTCGAGGTTCGAATCCCGCGAACGGGCTGGCTGCATGGGCGTTTTCGTGGTTTTCCCCATGTGTAACGTGTATACGAGTCAGTTTCCCTTAGAAAGTCATCCACGAAGGCATCCCTCCCCTTAGGCAGATAGCCCTATTAATACCATAATTAATGCCATAATTAAATACACCAAACTTCAAAGAGCGTGAATTGATTAATTACATGTTATAAAGTATGTTACAAAGACAGCGGTTTTTTGCATAACTTATACGTTACGTATATAGAAAAGGAATTGTCAAAGAAAACCATTATAATATTTCGGGAAAACGCTTACCCAATATCATTTAGTTACGATGTTCCTCTTTGGAAGTCAGTTAGATCGTATGGTCGATGTGTTATAAAAGAATTAGATGCATTAAATACCAGGGTTTCTACTTCTCATGCATTAGTATTTATTTTTCGCTATAAAAACAAGAGCGCCAATGACTTATCAAAAATGAATATTTATGTAATTCTTTGTTACGTTAAGATATTATAATAAGGAAAATTTTTTATAACGAGAAGTCCCTAACTATCTTAAAAACAAGCTTTAAAGCAATATTTTTTCTTATTTTTGAAACTAATAGAGTACTTAAGTAAATAAAACTAAACATAATAACCATTTTCCATTAAAAAAAGTGGCACATAACTAAGTTTGGAGTATACTTTTTTATAACCACTAGAATGTTTTTCAAAAATGTGAACTGAGCATTCTGATAAATTGCAAGTTTAGTCTGGAGACTGTCAAGTAGGTTTTTCCGTTTCAAAGATTTTCATGCAGTTTATAAGCTCAAAATTAAGTGAAGATATTATAAGCAATGAGAATTTAAGCTCCGTTGATGTCACATACACACACAAAGAAAAAAAAAATCAGAAAAACATTTTCAATGAGAACAGACGTGCTAAAAACATTCGCAGCGGTTGAAAAATCAGTTTATCTTTTTCTAAACTATTGAACTTATATGTATATATAAGATGTAGTTTCAGTTTTGAATACAAAATGGTCTGAAACTTAAAAACACGTATCATTTTTTTAAATGTTCTGTTGCCATTGTGTTTAAGGAAATTTTTGACACAAATTACGCAAAACTAGAAACTAATGGTAGAAATAATTTTTGTTATTTTCATTACATTTCTTAAGTTTAACTATGGGTTACATACCAAGCATCAGACATTGCCATTTCATTTTTAGTTACAAATTCATTCATGCAACAGTTTTAAGATTTTATTCATGTGTTAAGAAATATCAACAGTGACTAATGTTTCTTCCTGTTTTATTCTTTATCTTTTATACAATAAGAAATCTTATTTCCCTGTTATTCAGTTTTATCTCGGAGAGCTGGGCACATGCGTCGCGGTCTAGAGATCAAAGTCAACCAGAATAGAAACATCTAGTTTTAAAGTTCCATGATCTTAAAGCACTATAGAAGAGCATTGTTGCTTTCAGCAAGATTTGAAATAGAATGCTGTATTTTGAACAATTAGAAAATATGCTAAAGTCCTATAAATGTAAAAGAGTTTAAAGCGCAAAACGTTGAAAAAAAATCTGAATTCTCGATGAAATACATGCATTAAATATATAGTTTATGAAAACATAAACTGATGTTTAGCTTCTTTTAGCCTTTGGGACAGCAAAATGTTAACTTTTTCAAAACAAAGGGTAGACGAATTTGAATAGAGTAAATAATTTTCACCTTAATATAGTGGATAACTGATTATATAGAGCATTTTTTGTCTTCAACTATACACAAACTTAGTTTACAAATATAATTTTTCCTTAATGACAATTTCATTGTAAAATAAATAATGAAATTCCCCATTTGTTTTATATTATTATTATTATTATAAGGTTTGTTTATATAAAGAATTAGGGATAAGCAGGCAGCTTACCGCAACAATAGCAATTAATTTATGTTCCAATACATATAAGAATATAGAACCCTTAATTTAGATGGAAATATTTAAACATATGAGCGCTTTAGTATATTAAAGATAATTAATAAATCTGGTCTATTTTCACCGCTCTTTTGGAAAAGGTTTTGTGCTCTTTAGAGATGAAGAACACAGCGTTCTGAATGGAAAAAAAGGTAAAAATATACAGTGGCTACTTTTATTATTTGCTATAACCTGTAACTCTCAAAGAACTTTTATTAAAATAAACCCCGAAACTCTATAACGGAGGTATATAATGCCTGGCCTTAAAACATTCCGTTTTAAGATGAACATATTAAATTTTAAAAGTTAACAGATAATTCTTCGCATATAAGCTTGAGAAGAAAAGCGAATATTTAGGGTCGTTCTTAGCGATTTCTTTTTGTTGTAATTCTTGGAATCATTGTAATATATTTTATTCCGAGCAAATACGACCGTTTATAGTCTTGTTAACGAAAAAAAAAAACTTTTTCTTAGACTGTAACAATAGCAGTACAGTAAATCTTTCATGAATTATTCCAATGCATCACCACTCTTCAGAAACTATTAAGAATTTCTGCAAGTAATTTTACTTGTTTCTCACGCATTTCGGCTTTACATTAAAGCAGTGATATCCTATCCGCCGCCGTTAAGATTTGTGACGCACCTCGCTTTGCTTAACAGAAAAGTTATTAAAAAGATAAGCACAATCTACGTTGAAAATAAAAACTGGTAGAATGATTTAGCATTTAACTGAATATGACCGCTTGTTTAAATGATCTAAAAACTCGTACTTAATGCCAAACTCAACTAATAACTTATGTAGGAAACAGTGACAGTGTTCTGAAATTGTAGGAATTTCACCTTAAAAGTGCAAGTAACTCTGTTTAAAGAAAGCCATGTAAATAGCGAATGAGATTCATTTTGAAATTTATTCAAGACTAGAGAACAGACATTAATATTGCTTACTGTATTTGCTACTCCATTCTTAGATGACATTAAACGCTTAAACGATATCTACAAGTTTCGAAAGAAAGGTATAGAGCTGTAATCAGATGTATTTCTTTGTCGACTTAAATATCCTTAAGTTTACTTTATATATTATTAAATATCTGCTTAAATAAAAAGTACTTGTCACTTCACTACTCAAACTTCGCATAAGGAACGCTATTTCATATTTATCACTTATAAATACTTTTCGATACAAACAACAATTATTTTACAGAACTTTGTGTCAGAACTATACTATATTTCCAAAGAGACCTTGAAATAAAATTACTAGAACATCCTGAAAAGAGTTTTTCAAATTACGATTACATGCCATACATATTAAACAGTTTTTTATTTATTTTATTGAGATATTTTGTGACCTTGACAACATCGGCATAATTTCTATACGACAAAAATTCTTATATTAGTTCAACTTTCCTGTCAAGTAATATTTCAGAATAACTACACGAGATAAGTTACATATTTTTTTCAACTTTACAATTGCAGCTTTGCCGCTGATTTAAAAATGGAATTAACAGTACTAGATAATCACTTACCTCTCTAAAGATGCCGATAACAAAAAACATTACCTACGAGTAAAAAAAAAAAAAAAAAAAAAGTTTAAAAAAAATGTCTGTTTACTCACCTACGAGAGCGGCTGAAGAGGAAGTTAATTTCGACTAGATTAACGACTCAATAAGTTCTCTGAAATCTGTTTAATAACACACACATAAAAGAAAAAATACTTCGAGTACTTACATATCTGTATGTTACACTATAACATTTTCGTCTATTAGGTTATTCAAACCTTACAGCCCATAAAAATGTGCAATATTTCAAAGTGTTCTTCTCTAATTGTAGGAAAAAATGCTGCGATTTTTTATCTGAAGTTTATTATATCAATATGCACATCTTGGTAATGTTTCTTCGACTATCTGAACACCAGGTTGTCAGGCAGACGGAATTGTAAACGTCCATAATCATTCGAGGATAATTCAGTCTGTTAATCCATCAGATTATAAGGTACAGGTAGTGTTTCATGGAAAGTCGAACCTACCTTGATGAAGCATCAGAAAGTCTGTGCTAGTGCAACACTATCCGAGTCTTTGCGTGATGTTTTTAGAACATGCAGACAACTTGGAATAGTTACCTTCAAATATGTGCCAATCTCCGATGGCCATTTTGGGAGAGTTCAAATCACGGAGCACACGGATGAGGGTGTCGTATCTAATTTTAGTTTTTGCACGTGAAAGACAAGACGAAGGTGAGGAGACAACCGGAGGCCTCGTGTTGTTTGCGGTCGATGATGGCCGTCATACCCTTCCGTCCGTCTGACATCCTCGGGGATCACATCTGTTCACCTGAAGGTCAGAAGGGCGTTCATTCTGTATTACTTGCTGATTATTTTTAAAAATGCATTAACTGGTAGAATATATATTACCCTAAGAAATAAACCAATACTATTTTGCATGTCATACAAGGTGCTTCAAAAGAGGCTATACAACTTTGCATGAGAATAAAAAGTAACTGCACTAGGTAGTAATTTTTACCACTGTGCAAATGCAGAGAAACTTTTGAAGCAAGTTCGATGTGATGGCTTCTACTGACCCACCCACAGAAACCAGTTTCCTGCTTCTTATGACTTAGATGTCTGATAAAATTTTAGGAATGGTCGCAATAGTTCTGAAACGCAGTTGGACCCTATCTGGCAATGGCTCGACATTTAGCGACATTCCTCGAGATAAAATCCAACAGTGCAAGGATGTCAGAAGAAACGTACAGTAATGTATCCACTCTGTATCATCAGAACTTGCCATTTCTAGTGATGATGTATTTTCTTGTCAAACCATTCATTTTGTTTTTCTGCATGTTCCAAGTCATTCTGTATTCCTTTGCAAAGTTGTTTAACCCTTTTGAAATAACCTATGCCATCATTTTCATCATAACGCCCTCTATTCTCATTGCTTACATTAAAGAACGGAAGAAGAACAAGCACATACTTAACAAAATAATATATGTATAAAAATGAACTAAATATATTTTTCATTCATCAACAATTTCAAGACACGTCATTATAAGTGTCATGTAAATCTGCTTGCAATGTTTGTTTTCGTTTACGTTGGTAAGCAATGAGAATAGGAATAGGTACGTGCTAATGAAGAATGATACAAGTACTATGATTACTTACTGTTATATTTGCAGTAGAAAATTAAAAAACACATTCTTCTTGGCATGATTTTTCTTTATGTAAGACAAATCTGTAACTAACTTTGTGTTTAATGATTGAAGTGAAAAAAGAATTAAGAAAGAAAGAGGTAATTACATATTAAAAATGGAAGAAGTGTTCACTAAGTAAGTAGAGTTGAGCAAGAAAAACATTTAACGAAATTCAGAATGTTCAACATGAAAGTAAAATTCGTCTAACAAGCGGAATTGTTAAATAAAATAAATTCTTTGCTGAGTGTTTTGTAATTATATTTACTGTAACAAAGAAAATTAGCAAGGTTACATAGTTGAATTTTCAATTAATACTAAATAATTTTAAAAGTTATCTTTATTTTTCATTAAATTAATAAAAACACCTTCTGTCAACTGAAAAATTTTGAAAATGGAAAGGAACATGTTCGAGGGCTCTGTGGCATTACAGACAATAACTGTAATAATAGTATCATAATTCTTCAAACTTTTAAATATTTAACGATTTCAGCTATGGTATATGAAAGCATAACCGATACTTAAAGCCATCTGAAGTGGTACATAAGTAATTTATATTGTTTTAGCTTAAGAAGTATTTATCCTGAACTTATTTATTAAACTGCCAATATTTTCCACAAAATTCAAAATTTCTTAATTTTTGTAGATAAGGGTTTTATTAATTGTTTAATTTTAACAAAATAATTTTATCTTAAATTTGAGCACAAATAAGTTCGTTAAAGATCTAGAAAAATTAAATAAATAAAAAATACGAAGTTTTTAGATATAAAAATTATGGAGAGTGTATAAAAAATTGCTTGAAAAAGAATATTCTATAACTGAAGCGCAAATTATTTAATAAGAACAGAAAAATATATCTTTCCCTTGAAGAAGTGTTCTAAAATGTTAAAAGCAAAGAAAAGACTCTAAATACTAAGTCTTACATTGATTCAGTAGACTCTAATCTTAAGGATAAAATGCTCTTAAAGATATAAAATAATAAAAAGGATACATGCAATAAATAAAGAAAATCGAGATATTCACTATAGAAAACTTTCAATTTTTATTCTCATACCTATTAACACAGCGTTACTAAGAAATCAAAAGCATTATTTTTTTCACTTTGATACCTAGACAAAGAATTTTAAAAAATGGATTTTGAACGAAACGTTTAAAACCACTTAGCACGAGACTGAATAATTTCATTTTTATCTGGCTTTGTTTCTAAACACGTAGAAATATAAATTTATCACGCTGAAGTGTGAATTTGAAGCAATGTAATGATTAATTGCGTTAGAAGTGAATTTCTCTTAAGGAAATGCTGAAGAAAAGTGACTGAAGAATTTTTGCTGGAAAAATAGCACTTTCCCCAATCTGTTGTTGAAAAAAATTATACACGAAGTTGCGATTTATTATTTAAACAGAATAAATAAGAGACATGATGCAAATAAGGCTTTGTAAAATTTATTCTTTAACATAAACTGCAATTTGTTGAAATTTCAAATTGCAATAAAATTATTGATTCCAATAAAATATCACTATAGTCTGTTAATCTAGTGTAGTTATTAAGAAAATCTCTACGAAGTGTATGTCTGTAACAGTATTAATTCTTGATTCTTTTTCAAGCAGCAATTAGAGTTAATTCTTTTAACTTTTTTAACTGCAAGAGGAATTGGAGCTATTCAGAATTATTTTAAACATAAAAGTAATTTACATTATTCATTATATTTTAATGTAAAATATTTAAATAGCACAGTAAGATAATTTTTATTATTTGCATATATGCACATGAATGCGTAAGTAGTAGGAAATAAATTCTTTAGAATTTAGAAAATTAAAATTTATACAGCAGTTATTTCTTTGCACTAATGTTATTCTCCTAAACTGCACGTTCTTATTTATTATTTCCGGGCGCTTTTTTCTAAATATTTACAATATTTCTAGATTTTAGTCAATTCAGAATTTTGCTATTCATCCAGTGCATATAATGGAGCATTTTATGACAATTCACAAGCTATTCGCCGCAACTTAAATATCTTCTTCTGAGGTGATTTCCTCCTTCTAAAGAATTGTTTTCCATTAACAGCATCGAAATAATAATTATAACTTTCCTACTTTTATTCGTTTTTTCCTTTAATATCCTAACGAGAAACAAACGTTTTCAAAAATTAGTAGTTTTATAAATTTCACGTCTAAAACATTCAATAGTTTTCATCAAGAAAAAATAAATACTAGCCATTTAATCGTTAGAGACTAACTACGTATCCATTGTTAAATATATTTAAACAAATAACATTGAGTCCTTATTAAAATCTTAATGTAACGAATGTGGCTGTTAAAATAACAAGTGTTTGAGTAGTTATTTATTCTAAATTCAAAACCTGATATTAAACATCATCTATTAAGCAAAATCTTTCTGAGACAATACTGTTCTTAACTCTTTTCCAAATTATTATGTTATTACTCATTTCTACCAATTCAAATATGCTACGTGAGCTCTAAATTAAATAAATAAGTAAAATTAAGTAAGTAAAAATTAAATGATGATAACATGTTTCGACTTATAATAACAATTCAAATAGGTTTCACAGTGAGAGAACTGATAAAGCATAGATATAATGAATATCATATTTTAAAAGTAGTTGCGAAAGAAACCCAAACGAACTTTTGTTAAAATGCGAGTAATTAATGAGTATGTGAATTTATTCGAGTTTGTTCAAGAAATTTTTATTATGAAAGTGTCTCTTTGTGAATCCTAGTGTTTAACACATTTCTTTTGTACTTCAGCCAAGTAACTATATTTGAGAGTATTATTGTCAAAGTTGGTGAATTCGACAATAATCATAAATTCAAAATTTCATAACTTTGACAATAATGTGAAATTTTATGAATTCACTAAATACTAGCTTTTTACTAAATACTAGCTATAAAATTTAGTTACATTCGCTAATTTCTAAATGAACTAATCTGCATGGAGACTGGATACCGGAAAAGCTAGTAGAAGGGGAGATAACATGTTTTTATCTACAATAATTTGCATTCTTAGCTATCAAGACAAGTTCTGAAAATGTAATCTGTGTTACAAGTAGGTATATATCTTTCCTCTTTTCTTATAAGGTACTTCTGCCACTAATTGCTTACCTGTTACCTACGCTGCATTTTTTCCAAAATAAGCCATTAGTAAACGCTGAAATATTTTAACCCCTTGTTGTTGTGACTTATCTCACTTGTCTGGCATCAGAGCAATCCCACAAAATTCATTGTAGCAAGGAGAGCAAGTTTGCGCCTGTCGTTGGCTAGAGTCTTGAGTACAATACACGTGACAGTACGATTTCGCTGAGGGTCTCCCACCCTCTTTCCCTACCACCAACCTCTCTAGAGGACTTTCGGCTCGCCATATACTTAGAGTGCCTCCATGCCACAAAGCTACTCTACATTTACAAACATCCGTGCCTTCTCCGGGATTCGAATCCGGGTGCTTCGGTATTGCAGTAGGCTCCCTAACCATTATTCCGTCTGAACGACTTTTAACACCGACTTTAACTCCACTAAATCGCTTAATAAATTTATCCTTTGATAACAGCTTCAAATCAGCTCCTTTTCCAGCCATTTTATAGCTAAGAGATGATATAGCTTCTCAAAATCCTGTCAGTGTAAAAGCCAAGATACTAGCATCGACTTTTAATTTTGTCGATATTCTTGCTATTTTAATTTCCAGCGTGTATTCAAAACTTTCGATTATCTAAAGGACTGCTTTTAGTTAAAGGAAGGTAGTTCCTTTTACAAAGTTTTCTAAAAATATTGTACTGTTTTCTTATTTCTATTTCTTCAAACCCAAGAATATTAATCATTAGGGAAACTAGAAAACCATTAGGGACTCTCGATTCAATGTTAGCATTCTTTTATATGGGAATGTTATTACTCGACGTTTGAAAACTTTCAAAACCTGCATAAATTTTAAATGATAAGTCTCATACTTAGGTATTTGTTTTATGTAATAATAACAGAATACTAAAAATTCACAGCATTTCATGAATACAATAGCTATTTTGTAATTTTACCTAAAAAAACCCAGTTTTCAAAATTTCATACGTCTGCATTACTGTAAAAGACATAAGGAATTGTAACATTCCTCCGTGCATGCTGGGGATCTAAGTCCACCTAGCAAATGGAAGATCCGTGGATAAATTCCCAGTAAG